ATGCACCGAAGCTTGCCTTGGACAGGCGGATTGTCAGCTAAGTCAGTCAGTAATGGCTCTAGGACCTCCTCCTGCACAAGGACCTTCTTCTCGTACGCCTCGATCACCTCCTCGTACTTCTGCTCTCCGGCGATCACGAACTCCACCGACTCGTTCTCTACATGCATGCAATGATGATGCAACACTTAGTATTTTGACAACAACAACTCTTAAAATAAGAATACACATGCTAAGCTACTAAGCTAGCTCTAATAACTAAGATACTAAGCTAATCATTATCTCTACCAAATAGATTCTAAGCTCACCCTACAAGTGCTTAATTTTTATAAACCAATATCATGCCATTATTCATTTAGCCTTAATGGGTATTTAGCTACCATACTAAATAGTTTATTTTAGGGCTACAAAAATTACAGTGAGCACATAATAATACAATGAAGCTACTATAAAATTTTTAGGGTTTTTGCTATTACCAATCTACCACAAAAATTCCTACAATAATTAACTTAATAATATTGAGCACTCTCAAATGTTTTAATAGCTCCTGGTATCAATGAGCACATATATGAATTAAATACACTAATAGATAGAGCATAATTTTAGAAACCTAACAAAATTTGTTTCATAATTTTTAGATATCTACATTATTTTATATTAATTACTAAAATTCAGCTCAGAATTAAAATGAAAAGCTATTTCTATTTTCCACGAAAAAGATAAACCGATTTCGGCCTAACGCGTCCACGCGCGGAGGCGGCCCACGGCGGGGAGCTCGTGCGCGCGCTGGCACTCTTGCAAAAACGCCCTTACGTTATCAGACAATAGCGCGAACACTACACGTACTATTTCTATAGACAACGACTTTACAACGAAGCCCTCGTATCTTTTCACCTTCGCACTAGAGAGGTCCCCAAGACGCCCCACGCTCGCCGGCGCGGCGGGCGGTGGCACTAGGCGGTACGCCGGCCACCCAAGACCCTTGCAGACCTAGCTAATGGACCGATGTTCACCTATGGGCCTACGCATGACGATGGGCGGTGGTTGCACAAACGGGGTGAAACAGAGCGGGCTCTCCCCGACGGCGGTGACCTGCAGCGGCGACAACTGCATTCAGTGAGCCACAGCGTACAACAGATAATAGAGGTGACGGGTAAGCATCAGTGATGCACCATGGTCCTATCTATAGCGGTGTCCTGGTCGGAGACGCCCCGAGCAAGTCTGGTCGCGTGCGTGCGGCGAGCTCGACGGCGAACCACAGCGACACGGCCGTGACAGTGGCCTGAAGGCGTCACTAGAGTTGCGACTAGCGTGTGCACGATGAAGAGGGGTTCTAGGCTAGGCTAGTGGTGCTATCAATTCGACGCGAGATGGCAAGGTTAGAGCTGGCCACGATGAGGCAGGCTGGGCCTTAATGGTGTGGCGGTGGGAGCAAAGCTCCAAAATTGAAGCTTAGCCTAGCCGTAATCAAAGCGGGGTGGGGGCGGTCGGTAAGAGGATGTAAAGGCAGAGACGTGGGCACGAGGAATTGATGAGAGGTGCTCGCTCTCTGACTCGCCGTGACCGTGACCCGACGGTGGCGAAAAGCAGAGGAAGAAAGAGAGAGATGGGGTGCGGTAGGTGGGCTCGGCTCGTCCTTGCCTTGGTGGGATGTGAGCGGCGAGATCGGGAGACCCACACGCCAGCGCTAGCCGACAGGCGCGCGCGCGCCCAACCGGCATGGCCCGCGCAGCCGCAGTGTCATTAATGACAAGGCGACGGCGAGCCTGAACACGTGCGTGCGGCAGAGGCGACACGCACTGGGCCAGCAACAGCGTAGAGATGTAGCGAACTGGCGCGGACACGACGACGATGCGACGATAGCGGCAGCGTCACGGTGCGAGGTAGGTCGGCAGCGCGGCGAGACAGCAATGGTGAACGCGACGACGAGGTGATAGCATTGGTAGTCGCTTCGTCATGACATGGCGGGGCCAGCGGCAGCCGAGCCATAGCCAGAGCAGAAGCAGCCACGGTCGGCCGCGCACGCGCGACCAACACGGCGACGCCTAACGCCCGAGCGCGGTGATCGCGGCCAACCAGCCTGAGACTTGTGACGCGCACGAATTTTAAAGCGCTCAACACGACCTAACAGTTGCTTCAGGAGCCAAACCAACTTCACCATGCTCAAGATGGCATATGAGACTACCAAATCGAGCTATAACACTATGCCACCCTTTATCCAATTTCTCACAATAAATTGCTAAACATAGCAATGTCTAGCTGTTGGCAGACTTGAAAATTTCTACGTTTTTGAGCTGGATTTGTTTTCAAGTTCCGTTTCTAGACTATTAGAAATACCAGCTACTAACATTATTTTTCTACAACAAGTATTTCATTATCATCTACAAAGTTTACACTCTAAACTTTATTTAAGTGTCACATACATGTTCTACAATATTTTTGTTCAATAAAAATTAGTTTCAAACCCTACTTGATATGCATGAACTATCGAATCAACTTTCGTTTAGCATTTTTATTGATCATTTTGAGTTATGAAAATTGATCTACACACTTTATCACATGCATTATCATAAAAACATGATACTCATGACATATTTTAGCAAGTTGTTTAAACGGTAACACCGAGGGTGTTACACAACCTATACAGTTAACGATTGAGCAGCAGGGGCTTACTGCAAACCTGGCCGTTGTGATGGTTCGACCGGGGACGCCCCGAGCAAGGCTGGCCACGTACGCGCGGCAAGCTCGGTGATGAGCCACGGCGGACACGGCCGTGTCAGCCACATCGGGGAGGCAATAGCGGTTCTGCTGGCTCGCGTAGGGTGGAAGGGGGTCAGGATGAGGCCATTGGCGTGGCTGGTTGAGCCTGAACGGCAACTGGAGCAGGTTGCCACCCACAGCGGCCGAACATGGCCTTAACGGCTCGGCGGCGGGAAAACTCCAAAATTAGAGCTCGACCGGGCGCCATTCAAGACGGGGTGGGGACGGGTAGCTGGGTGGGTTAATGGCGAGGCTGTGGACGCATTGAATCGACCCGAGATGACCTCTCCTGCTGGACTGTGGACGGCGTCGTGACAGTGGAAACTACAGGGGAGGGGAAAAGAGGAGGTCGGCCTGCTCTCGGCATGACGTTCATAAAGACGAAGGCGATTGGGGGTGGTACAGCTATCGCGGCGGGGTTATGTGCACGAGGGAGCCGCGGCTGCATGCACGGCCAAGTGCCAGTACCGCGGGTGCGCCATGTGCGCACGACAGGGGGCAGCGGGTGGGGCAGCCGCGCGACAGGACGACAGCGGCAGCTGAGGGGGGGGGGTGCCGAGGCCACTAGCCAGCAGCAGGCGCCACAGCCAGAGATGGCCAAGCCACGGCCATGCCGCGGCTAGGCCGAGGGCGGCCCCCACCAACCTGTGGCCACGCGTGCGCGCGGCCAAGTGCAGCCACGGCGCGCACCAAAACACGATAACCACGCACTCCAGGTCAAAAAATACTATTCGTTGACTAATAAGCCATGTCATGTAACACAAACACAAACACGACGGAGCGATAAGGCTGTCGAGTCATGGGCTCGTGGCGGGCTGGCGGATCCCCGCCGCACACGTGCTTTAATTTGGCACGTCGGCCGGCCGTATGTGACGACGCGATCCAATCCCCGGAATTCAGCTGACACGCAGCAGCGGTCGGCAGCCAAGCCAGGCCGCGCCGCGCATCCATCAGCGCTCAGCAGCGGCCGTCGCGTCAACGCAGATTCACCCGCGCAGGCGCAGCAGTGCCGGAAAGATTTGCCTGCTCGGGCGGATCGGTGGCGGCCGCGCGCGTGGGGTCCTTTGCTTTCTTTCGCCATTCATGCCGCTGTCGCGTCTCCAGAGCCTAGCGGTCGAGCTGGGGTCGGCTCCATCAGCCGAGTGCCGAGCGAGCACGACAAACTACTACCTGTAGTGCAGTACAGACTGACCACAGTACACCCGTTTTTGTTGTCTTGCCGCTCTCGTCTCCGTCCTGCAGCCACACGTGCGCGCCGCCGTGTCTATACTGAAACGAGGCCGGCCCCCGGCACGTATAAGAAAGGTAACCGGAACGTATCTTGTAGCATGCTGGTGCCTGGTAGTACATGTCATGTATATATCGTGCATCCCTGCAGCCCTCTGCTCGAGTAAATTTCCGAACGAATTATCGTTTTTTTAGATTAACGAATTAGCGTTTTCATTGACTGATGTTCCGGCAGTGAGGAGCGCCAGCAGAGAAGAAAAAGTGAGTTGGCTTTATTCCTTCTGGTGGGCTCGTGTTCGTGGGCCGAGTTGTTAGTTGTGTGACGGTGCTGGAGCTGGGCCTATAGAGAGAGACAGATCGGTGCCGGACCAGTACGTGTGACCCATGCAAGCATGACTCGCTTTACAAGGGTACCGCATCGTCACTAGCCAGTGCGCCACACTGGTGACTGGCTGACCGCCCAGCCGTCGCTGCCTGAGTTGCGCGCGCTGTTCCCTCTCTTTCCTCTGGTACTTTGATTTTACTCAGCTTAATGTAAAAAAGATATAGATGTTGCTAGCAAGTGCTAAGAGCTAAGGAAGCATGCTATTTTTTAGTAGCATAGCATCCAAACAACACCAATCTAGTATAATTATGACTTGCGACGGGTATTCTTGTCCAACATGTGAATCCTTTCTCCTTTTTCGCTACACAAGGTTTTTGCAAAGAATATTCGTGTCTTTTTGTCAAAAAGACGAGAGTTTGTCAACACAGCCGTCAAATGCCACGAGATTTCCAGGTAACCAGCATAAGAAGATTATTACTACAGGAAAAAAGAAAGGTACGCCTACTCTCACTCCTGCCCGACCATTCCCATGCCCTAGAATAGAATAGGCCCAATTTCCCTTACATATGACCCCGCTCATCAACCTCCCCCCATGCGTATACCCGGAACGATGCATATTCAGATCACCAAGATTACTGGTGTGCTAGACGGAAGGGAATAAATCCGTAGGCCGGGACCGGGAGGTATCACGATGGCCGCGTCCAGGAGAGCAGCGGCTTTGCTGTGGCTGGCGGTGGCGATTGCCGCGGCCCTGGCGGCGGAGAAGAGCCGGGCGGAGCAGCTGGGGTGCTTCTGCGACTGCGTGAAGAACCGGTGCATGACCCTCGGCGCGGGCGCAGACAAGTTCGACTGCGCGGCCGCCTGCACCGGGGGCTGCACGCAGATCGGCCAGCCGGGCCAGCCCAGGGCCGACGACTTTTGCGGTTTCTGATGAGCCGCTGGCTCTTGGGCTTGCAGGTTAGCAGCCCAGTTGGATGCCACGGTGACCGGCCCAGTTGGATGCCACGGTCCATGAATTCATTCATGTATGATGGCTGCATGTCCCAAAACAAGCGTCTAAAGCTGATTGTTAATATTTTGTCATTATACTCTTATATGTCCTATATAGCTATAGGATTCGATTCTTCTCTCTCACACGCACCTACTAACTAGACTACGATGTAGGATCTTGCTGTTCATGATTAGGCTACTAGCTATCATCCTATTCGCTGGTTAGTTTCTGAACTGATAAGTTCGATTAGTATTGGTTTGTTATGAGAAGGAAACACTTTGTGTGAGTACATTCTGGTCGTTTTGAGTCTAGGAGCTAGCAGCATCTTGGGAGTTGCGCTGTGAATGTTGTGGGTATATTTTTTGTGGTTTGCAATGAGCCTGACCATCTATTTGTAAAACTACGGTCTGTTCGTTTGCTCGTAAACGATCGTAAATTTCCAGCTGGAAACAGTGTTTTTCTCTCACACCAAACCAGCCAGCAGTAAATAATCCACGATACGATACGGCCTTCCGAACAGGCTGCTAGTATCCCTAGTTCAGGTAGTACATCGCTTTCATTTATTTTTTGAAACTACATCGCTTTCAATTTTTGGTCACTTTGTATCTGTTGCTTGCACCCTCCACCCCCGTCATTTATATAAAAGAAAGTGATACAATGATGACCGTTATTCTGTGGGCAATACAGTTTTAAGAGCCAAAATGTGAGAAGTTGATAGGAAATTTGCCACAGCTTTTACCATTGGCCCCGTTTGCGTGCCCTTAAACCCGGCTTGATCCGCTTCTTTTTTTATTCGAAACAATATTTTTCTCTCATAGATTCCTTCAGAATTCCTCCAAACCGTACAAATTCCTCCAGAACAAGGGCAGCCGAACACCCCAAACCAGGATGTACTGCAAACGACAGCCTTTCATAGCAGGGGCAGACCCAGCATTTTATGGATTTCTTTTAGGCCCCGCTCCATCTCTCAGAAAAGGTGAAAAATGTGTACTACTTCCGTTCAGAAAAAACGAGAGCATAATTGAAGCAATTTTCAGACAGCTTAGTGTTGAGAGAAAAAAAATGACGCATGTGCTCCAAAAGATACAGAACTCTATGGGATCATGACCTTACATATTGCATGCGTGCATCATTTTATTTTTATCTAGAACGGGCCCATCTAACTTAAATCTACATTGATTTTTGAACTAAATTTGAATGCTAGAATTACATAGTCAGCCTATTCACTGGTGGGCAACCAAGGTTTATCAACTAGATAATAGTATTTTTCTCTCACAACAAATCAGCATAAATCGAGCTTATTAACCTAAAAGCCAACTAGCCAGTGGGACGTTAATCTTATGACGGATCGACGGAGCAGTTACCAGCGCGCTTATAACATCCAGATTCCAAGACCAACAAGCGTTTGTCCGGAAATCCAGTGGCTCTCCGGCGCTACGCGAGGGCCTCCGGCGCGGCAACCCGGGTCGGGTTTCGCGGTGCCGAAGGAGGCACAAGAAAGCAGCTCTCACGTACTACCACGGTCCCGACGCCCGGCGGCCCGGGCCCTTGGCCCTGAGTTGCACCCTAAAATATTAAAATTTTTAAGATTCTTTATCCCATTGAATCTTTAGACGCATGCATGAAGTATTAAATATAAATAAAAAATAAAACTAATTACACAGTTTAGATGAAATCCACGAGACGAATCTTTTAAGTCTAATTAGACTATGATTGGACACTATTTATTAAATAACAACGAAAACGCTACAGTAGCGTTTTGCCAAAAAAAATTGGCATCTAAACTGCCCCTGGCCGGCTGGCCCCTGGCTGCGTCAATGCCTGCGTGCGTGCCTCGGTCAGGTGGTCCAGCCTTCACCCGCCGGCCCGCCCGGCTCCGATCAGAATAAACAAATCGCCGCGCGTGCTCCCGGACACACTACCGCCCATGGAATTTGCTCTCAGCTTTGGTTGATCTCTCTCCGGACGGCCGGGCCCTAATAAGGATTCTCACCAACTTGAGAAGACTCCTTTGTAATTATTGGTCGCCATATATGCTACACTTGTGTTTACAGTGTAGTCTTGTCCGACCAATGGATACCAAGCCAGTTCGTCCAGGGCGAACGGAGGCCGCCGCTCCTTGCCGCAGCACCATCATTACGACGTCCGCGACCGCGAGGAGATAGGTCAGGCGCAGCAGGCAGCAGGCAGCAGGCCGCCCGCCTGTTCTTGGCAGCTGCCCCTTTGGTGCGTGCGCGTTGATGCTGCTAAAAAGGTGCGAGCTTTACGAGGTAGGAGTACTCCTCCGTAGCTAGCTGCTACTACTAGTTTCTTGACGCGTTTTATTTTTAGTTTGTTTATTTTTGTGTGGGACGACGGGAGGACATTCTTTTCTGGCGCTAGTATAAATGCGGCGAAATCGATCTCTTCGTCCGGTGCGGAGGATCCGCTTTCCTGGCGTTCATTGATGGAGGATTAATGCCACTGCCAACTCGCTTCGTTCAGCGCTAGTAGTAGTACTAGTACTGCTGCTGCTTCGGTGGTTGGGAGGACAGGAGAGCCTCTGCAAGTCTTTGCCCCGTCCTCACCAGATGACCAGAGACCCATCGCTCCATTTCTTGCTCCATTTACATTACACCCTTATAGAAACTCTGTTTGTGGTTTGTAGTTGTAGCAGTCCAGCTCCAGAGAAGAGGAGCCTCGCTCTCACGGGAGCCTCGCAAGGTGATGTTTGTGTTTCTATGCTGTTCTGGTGCTTATCGTTATATTATCTACAGCAAAAGGGGGCTCGGATTTCGTGGTTTCCCTTTCTTCAGCTGGTTAGATTTTAGTACTTACAGTGTTATGCGCTTATTCCTAGATACTCCTACAATACAAAGCTGCAAGAAGGTATGGGCAGATGCTCCCTTGTTATTCCTGTGTTTGTGGCCTTGTGGGGGATTTGATTGGTTAGAGTCAGTTCCTTGTGGCGTGAGGATTCCTGGGTCCTGGACCATCCAATCCTTGCCATATCAAGCAGATGCTCTCACGGGGATTGCATTGTTTGGAATTGGGCCTACCACGAAACAGACAGCAATTCAGGAACTAGAGCTTCGGAGCAGTTATGTACGAGCCCCTTGATTGCATTCATTAGCGATAACTACGGCCGTGTTCTCAGCCAGGAACAGGCCACTCTCATCTCATGGTCATGGGGCTGTACTAGAAGAATTCAACTCTCGTTTCTCCATCCAGGATCGTCAGGGCATGAACTGCTATGAAACGACGCCTTTTACATGGCTGCCGCCGGTGGCACGCGTGTCTTCAAAAGTGGTCGAGAGCCGAGAGGGAGGGAGATCACATGCATTTGTCCGTAGTTTCACATGGCGTGCTCCTCCTCGACTCTGCTCCCAAAACGCATTCGGTGCCTTTTCTTTCCGATTGCATCAACACCACACCTTGAATTTGCACATCTACTGTACATCCGTGGGTATAACGAGATAGTAGCAATTTCGATGTGACCTAGGGAGAGTCTTATTCTTGTTCTTGGCCGGCTCGTCTCCCTTTTCCGCTTGATTTTTTTGCTTCTCCTGTGTAGCTGAGCTGTGTTGGTATCAGACTATCAGTGTAGTAGCAGCAGTAGCAATGAGTAGTCCACAGCTCCAAGAACACGTGGCCGTCCTTCCCTGGCCTCTCCCTATCGGTAACGCAGGGGAGGGCTCCACCGGCTTTAACCATGGCATGTGTCTTTTGCCTAGTTTGGTCGGCTGGTTCCTCTGCTCTATCCCCCTTGAGGTCTCAGGCTGTTGAGTTGAGCTCATACCTCAATTTCTCCCTGCAGTGTTTTTTCTTGGTTTCTGAGGTATCTTCCCCCTTTCTTCCTTGTTCCTTCCCAGTAGATTCTTCATTACTTGGGGATTTGGAACAACGGCAGTGTTTTGAAGCTGGTTTGTTTGTTGAATGGTGCGGAAAGAGAGCCAGTGTTATGTGTGAAGGCTAGGCTCTCGCCGAGCGATGGATCTTGAGTTCGGCAGGGGCCTGAGATCCCCAAAGGTATGTGTGTTTCGCAGTCTAGCAGCCTGTTGGTGAGATGGAGTGAGCAATGCTTGCTGAATTGCTAGCTGTTTGTTTGGGTTTTCTTGCAGAGGGACTCATGGAAGACCACCTTGCTGCTGGCGTACCAGAGCTTGGGGGTGGTCTATGGAGACCTCAGCATATCTCCGCTGTACGTGTACTCGAGCACCTTCGCCGAGGACATCCAGCACTCGAAGACGAACGAAGAGATCTTTGGCGTGCTCTCCTTCGTGTTCTGGACGCTCACCTTGATCCCTCTCATCAAGTACGTCTCCGTTGTCCTACGAGCTGACGACAATGGCGAGGGTATGCGTGAAAAAAAAACTAGCAGTATCTCTCACTTGCTGTGCAGGTTTTTTTTTTTGCTCGCATAAGCGTTTTAAGTTTATATGGTTTTGCAATTCTGCAGGAGGAACGTTTGCCCTGTACTCTCTGATTTGCAGGCACGCCAATGTGAGCCTTCTCCCGAACCGGCAGATTGCTGATGAGGAGCTTTCCACCTATAAACTGGAATGCCCTCCTGAAATAACCGACAAGTCCTGGATCAAAGTGTTGCTTGAGAAGCACAGGAAGCTGCGCGTTGCTCTACTGATCATGGTTATGATTGGCACATGCATGGTTATCGGGGACGGCGTTCTCACGCCAGCTATATCTGGTATCCTCAGATCAGCTTTCTTTCCTTAGCCCAATCGGATTTCTTTTCTTCAGATTGAAATACTGATAGCTGGTTCCTTACTGTGGTTTTCTGAAAACATGCCACAGTGTTCTCAGCAGTTTCAGGCCTTGAGTTTTCTCTGTCCAAGGATCACCGTGAATGTGAGTTATCCTAGAAAACTTTCAAATTGAATTTCATTTCCTCTTTGCTATGTTTGCTAGAGAGTTTCACATTCCGAAGAGTTGACTATTAGCACAGGGACATCTGTCAAAATGCTAGCTTATGTTGTTTGGCTTCCTTCCCCACATTGGCCATAGCTGATTGGCCATGAAATGCGTTCAGGACCTTCTAGGTTGAGATTCCTATTCCAACTGCGAGCATTGGTTGGCACAAAGGATTGCATTGGCTGTCTTGTTTTGTTGATTTGAATTTTCCCAACTTATCTTGGTTCAAGAAGGCACTATGAAAGTTGGCTGTCTTTTGGCAATGTTATTTTCATGAATTCAATTGAGAAACGAAAACAATATATTCTTATGTTAATTAATTTGACAGCAGCTATACCATAGTAAAAGCAATCATCGGAATCACTACCTTTTCTCCCTAATACAAAGTTAAAATTCCAGTGGCATCTTTTACTATCTCCAAATGTCCCAACAAAACAATTTTATGAACTCTGAAGTCTGAACAGTGGAGGGTGAAAAATCGAAATGGTGATTTTTCTAATAAATTGTCTTGCTATGGTATTTCACCTATTCCCAGTTTAAACCTCCTTGTTTGGCTACTGATGTATTTCTTCTATGCAGATGCTGTCATTCCAATAACCTGTGTCATATTAGCATTCCTATTTGCCCTCCAGCACTATGGTACACACCGGGTTGGATTTCTCTTTGCCCCGATAGTTCTAGCCTGGCTATTCTGCATGAGTGCTCTTGGCCTTTATAATATCATCCACTGGAATCCTCATATCTACAAAGCTCTAAATCCTTCTCATATGTTCAAGTTCTTAAAAAAGACTAGAAAGTATGGTTGGATGTCACTCGGTGGAATCTTGCTCTGCATGACAGGTAAACTATGGAATGTCTCTAAATATCTGCCATTACATGTCAAAAAAAAGAATCCCTATTATTCTGTTTGAATGGATTCTGTCGTTTGTATCAATAATTAAATAAAAGAAGTGGGCTAATGTCTAGCATGCTAATGGTGCAGGATCAGAAGCAATGTTTGCAGATCTTGGCCACTTCTCATACAGTGCAATCCAGGTACCTTCTTGACCTGCATGAGACTTCATATAATATTTCTGTGTTAAATTATTGTGCTGATCATCTAGCTTTACGTTTCTGGTGCAGCTTGCTTTCACTTGTCTAGTTTACCCCGCACTGATTCTGGCATACATGGGTCAAGCTGCTTACTTATCAAAACATCATGACTTTTACTCTAGTTCACAAGTTGGATTTTACATCGCAGTTCCAGGTACAATATGGCTATTCCATGTTTAATTTGAGTTTTGCTAGTTTTTTAACACAAACATACAAAAAAAATATCTTGGTTACATATTTATGTCAATCATCATGTGGGAAGCACTTTTGATAGCTTGAGTACTAAGTTGGAAAAGGTGGGGGTCTGCCCCCTCCTGTTGCATGAAAATGAAAGTTAGAAAATGGTCTGGCTAAATCTACTGCACATCCTGAACTCTATTTTTTTTAGATCAACACCAGGGGAGCTGAGAGGCTCCACCTAAATATATCCTGAACTCTATTTCACGCTTGTAGGATCTTCAGTAGTTTTCCGTTTGGAGGTTTATATAATTTGTGTTTATAAGACAGGACATAGATTGTATAGGTCATTTCTATCTTTATGCAATCTAGATAGTAACTATTATGCATATATGTGCATATATGGTCGACCCATTGTAAACTTCATATGAGGTTACCGATGACTGATATTCTTCTAATAATTTCTTCTCTTAGAAATTCAATACCAGTCAAATTCACGTGAAGTTTTCTTTGATACAAACTTCAGATAAGATCAGATGGCCAGTGCTCATATTGGCAATTTTGGCTTCGGTAGTTGGAAGTCAAGCAATCATCAGCGGAACATTCTCAATCATCAATCAGAGCCAGTCCCTGAGCTGCTTCCCTCGAGTAAAAGTTATACACACATCTGAGAAAATTCATGGCCAAATATACATCCCTGAGATCAATTGGTTGCTTATGATCCTTTGCATTGCTGTGACCGTTGGATTTAGGGATACAAAACACATGGGAAATGCATCTGGTAAGATAAACTACTTGACACTAGCTATTACACTGTGTCCGATTATTTTGGCTTCTTGATTATTTTGCTATTATACACAGTGTCAGATTGCACAAGCGAGGGTAAGGCTTGCCACTAACATCTTTCCCTAGACCCCACTGGGTACACACAGTGTCAGAGTATCCTTGATGACGATCGAGTTGCATGCTGTCCGCAGGTTTGGCTGTGATCACAGTGATGCTGGTGACGACGTTCCTGACATCCTTGGTCATCGTTCTGTGCTGGCACAAGCCACCGCTGCTGGCGTTGGCTTTCCTCCTGTTCTTTGGATCCATCGAGGCGCTCTACTTCTCTGCGTCCCTGATTAAGTTCCTGGAAGGCGCGTGGCTGCCCATCCTCCTGGCGCTCATCCTGATGGCCGTCATGCTCATCTGGCACTACACGACCATCAAGAAGTACGAGTTCGACCTGCACAACAAGGTGACCCTGGAGTGGCTGCTCGCCCTCGGGGACAAGCTGGGCATGGTCCGCGTCCCCGGCATCGGCCTCGTGTACACGGACCTGACGTCAGGCGTCCCGGCCAACTTCTCCCGGTTCGTGACCAACCTCCCGGCGTTCCACCAGGTGCTGGTGTTCGTGTGCGTCAAGTCAGTGCCGGTGCCGTACGTGTTCCCGGCGGAGCGGTACCTCATTGGGCGCGTCGGCCCACCAGGCCACCGCTCGTACCGGTGCATCGTGCGCTACGGCTACCGCGACGTGCACCAGGACGTGGACTCGTTCGAGACGGAGCTCGTGGAGACCCTGGCCACGTTCATAAAGCTGGACGCCTCGTACCGGTGCAGCGAGGCCAGCGAGCAGGAGCTGGAGCCTGGCGAGCGGGAGCAGCGGCTGACCGTGATCGCGAGCAACCCGCTCCGGCGCCGCGCCAGCTACGACCTCCAGGACAGCATGCAGCACTCGGCAGCATCCACCGTGGAGATGCGCGCCACGGCCGCCGCCGCCTCCGCTGACGACGACGACAGCCTGAGCCCCGGGCGCGCGGAGATCAGCTCGGCAGCAGCGGGGCCGAAGCAGGTGCGGTTCTTCATCGACAGCCACGTGGCGAGCCCGGAGTTCGCGGAGAACAAGCAGGTGGCGGAGGAGCTGGAGGCGCTGGCGGCGGCCCGGGAGTGCGGCACGGCGTTCATCCTGGGGCACTCGCACGTGCAGTGCAAGCCTGGGTCGTCGGTGCTGAAGCGGCTGGCGGTGGACGTCGGGTACAACTTCCTGCGGCGCAACTGCCGCGGCCCGGACGTGGCGCTGCGCGTGCCGCCTGCGTCGCTGCTGGAGGTCGGCATGGTGTACGTGCTTTGATGGAGGCTGAGGCGACACGGCTTGTTTTTTTGCTGAATGAACATCTGATGATACAGTAAACACGACTGTTTTCAGTTTTCCCTGTAACATAATGAGGCCGTTCTGTGCAGTTTAACCTGTGTTCATCTCCTCGGTGTTGTAATGCACCATCACCAGCTTGGACCTGGCTGGCTGTATATATATAATATATCGAGAAATAGTAATGCTGAATCGCCCGGCAGTTTAGGCCCTTGCTCGTGCGAATTTGCACACCCCATCATTCTGTGAATATAATTTACTTTGAATTTTCTGTCATCTCGCCAGTTCGGCGCAACGTCTTGGGAGGCTGGCGAGCCCTGTGCGCCGCGCTACCGAAACGGGCGGGAAACAATTTCCGTTTCCGCATCTCTAATCAATAAGGCCCGTTCGATTGTTCTGGAACGGGCATTTCAGCCCTGAAATTTGTAAAGAAAGGGTTAGGCTGGGAATCAATCCCAGATAACCGAACAGAGCCTGGCCCGTTCGGCAGCAGCCGGACCAGGTTTGGTTCCTGGCCCTAGTTTTCAATACGGATGGCTCCGTTCCACCCGGAACGACCGCCGGAACGGCCCGTTCCCAAAGAAACGAACGGAGCCTAAAAGGGAACGTGATGGGACTGGAAGTAGAGGTGGGACTTGGGCTGTGCTGCACTCTCGTGCTTCGTGCCGTCTCAGGTCATGCCTTCTAGGCACGTGAGGCATGTCGGGCCACGTCGATACGGCACGGCAAATATTTTGTTCGGCCCATGGCCCGTGGCACGCCGGTCCGAGCACGGCCCTCAAAATATCTCTGCTAATTTTCTGTTTTTCCTCGTGATATAAAAAATATATATCTTGTGTGTACTATTTTCATAAAAATTTTAATGATTTTTATAATCTATCCGGGAACTATATGAGATGTAGTATAACAAATGCTAGGAAATTACATTGCAGAGTTGTAGATGCGTGTACTTGCCATTTTCGTGCTGTGTCGGCCCAAGCATGGCCCAAAAAGTGGGCTGGGCCATGTAGCCCGCCGTGCCGAGATCCTGGGCACGGCACGACCCTCATGTTCGTGTCGTGCCGGCATGGTCCAAAATATTTCGTGTCACGCCGTGTTTTGGGTCGTGCTAAAAGACTATGCCATGATCCTTCTCAGATGGCACGGCCCAAGTCCCAGCTCTAACCGGAATGAACGAAAAACGGTTCCGTATCTCAATCTGATCACTGTAAATGGAAACTTAGGAGCATCTTTAAGAGTATTTTTAAAATTTACTCTATATAAAATCAGTATTTAGAGAGTAATTTGAATAAAAATTGATTTCTATATCTTCGTACCATTCAACAATTTTTATATCGCTAATGTTGTGCTTCGGGTTTCGGATACCCCATTTCTATCCGGACGCATTGAACCGTCCGCATAGACTCAGCAGCTGTGACACACTTAACCTTCTTAGAGCATCTCCAAGAGTTTCTAAGACACTCTCCTAATTTAGAATTTTTAGCAAAATTAAGAAAAACAGGTGTCCAACAGTTTCTAAAATCAACTCCTAATCTTTTAGCACTTCTAAAAAGTGAGTCCTTTATACAAAGATACGCTGCCACGTGTTTGTGCTCATGCGGATCCCGCCATGACTAGGTGAACTGCGTCGTGCGTGGGTGCGGCGTGCCGTCCTTCTCGCCGACTCGGTCGAGGAAGAACCCCTCGCCGAACCCCATGAGCAGCGCCATGGCCATGAGCACGCAACCGCCACCTGCTCGGCGTGCTTTCGCTGCCTCTGTAGGCGTGCTCGTGCAGAGCCTCCCGAGCACCGACCGAGCTTGACGGCCTCCTCGGCGTCGCCGGGTCGGCAAGACTGCACGCGTCACGGTGGGGATGGCTCATCAACTCGCCGTCGCCGACGGCGGCCTCATCGACTTCAAGAAGACAGACCGCGGCAGCGGCGGGGCTTCCGGCTCCTCATACGCCAGCGGCGGCGCGAACAACAACAAGCAACAACCCCAGGGCGGCGGGTCCTACTCGTCTGAGGCCATACGGAGGCACCGCAAGCAAGGCGGGCGCCAAGCAACCTCTTCTTGAGAGCCCAGTCGGCTGGAGTAGTAGTAGTAGTAGTACTAGTTTGATTTATTTGGTTCGGTAGGCCGTCGCGGCTGCCAGATTGATTCGTTGGTTGATTTTATTAACCTAATTATAATTGTTGAGGCACTGCGAGACGGATGCAGTCGTCGTCGTCGTCGTAGGCCTCTAGGGGATGGAAGGCCGGCCGCGCCGATTGGCATGGATGAGGTCAGACTCAGACCTCGCCGGCGGCAACTTCTCGTAGCTTGTGGTGCCAAATTTAGATTTTTTTAAAATGAATTATTAGAAACTCTTGATGATAACCTTTATGATTCCTCCTAATATCATTTTAGAAGTTGTAAAAGTACACATTTTTAGGAAGAAAATATAGGATACTCTTGGAGATGCTCTTAGCGCCCATTTTTCTCCATTTCTGTTGTCTCTGTTCGAAAGTCACCTACCCAACTTTAAACCAGGAGAGCCATCGTCGCCAGTCAGGCCCCTGCGATTCGACGGCGATGCGCTCGCCTCTTCGACCGATGAGGACGCCGGAGAAGGGTGCTGGAACGCAGCGAATGATGGAGACGCACGACGCCTCTGCTGTAACACCATCGGTGTTACGCCTTAAATAAACTACTAAATCATGTCATGAGCATCATGTTTATGTAATAATGCATGTGATAGAAAATGTTGATAAATTTCTTGTAACCTAAAATAATCAATAAAAATGTTAAATCAATGTTGATTCAATAGCTCATGTATATTAAGTAGGGTTAAAAATCAATTTTTATCAATGTTCGCCTAAACGGATTAAACGGTCGTTTAAACGGCCAGTAAACGGTAAACGGTGGTAAACTGTTTTGTTTAGGGGATAAACGGAAATTAAACGGTTGACCGTTTAAACGGTCAAAACACGGGAAAAAACGGCCTAAACGAAACGGAGATAAACGACATTAAATAGGCTAAACAGCTGTTTAAACGGCCGTTTAGGCGAACACGAGCTAAATCTAGTTTAGTTTTATATTGATAAATTTGTATACTTAAGTTTATTATATTTATAAATGTGTACACTTGATATGTTACATGCATAAATATCTATATTTGGTTCTTTTCACATGCATAAATATATATGCATACCAAAATAATTGATTTTTACTCGGATAAATATGTATAAATGCTAGAATACTTGATTTTTTACATGCACATATATAATTATATATATTTTTTTAATAAAAAGTACAAAACCGTTTAGACCGTTTAACTCCGTTTAAACACCGTGTAAACAGCCTAAACGCTAAACGAAGGGCGACCGTGTAGAGACCGTTTACCGTTTAGGAAAACATTGATTTTTATTAAGCAAAAATACTATAGAACATGTGTGCGATACTTAAATAAAGTTTAAAGTACAAACTTTTTAGATGACAATGCAACTCTTGCTGTAGAAAAATAATATGACTAGCTAGTATTTCTAATGGCTTGGAAATGAAACTTGAAGTCAAATTCAGCTCAAGACTTGGAAGAGATTTTAAGTTTGAAAACAGTGTGACAATGTTGTGTTGGCGAATTAATTCTGAAAAATCTAGCTAAAGGTCAATGCCGTGTTTTTGCTCCTTATGATAGACCGATGTACCCTCGTTAGCATGGTCGAGGTAGTTTAGCTTCAACTGTGTTAGGTTAGTTTTTAGACGCACTTTAAAATGCGTGCACGTCACCTAGGGCAGTCGTTCGGACGGTGCACGGTCACAGTGTTCGGGTGTGCGGCGTCGCGCGTGGGTGCTCACGCCGTCGCACGCGTGCACCGCGTGTGACCTTGCCGGTGGCGGTCTCGTCGCCGCCCGTGCTGCGCGTCGGTCCAGCCGAGCTGTGCCCTGGCCTCACGTGCACATGAGCGCAACGCCGGTGCAGCCGCTGCGTGGTTGCGTGGTGAGGCGTCATCGCCATACGGTGTTGTGTGCCCCCGCTGTCGCTGCATGCGTGCGCCACCGTGTCCGCTGAGCCTCACGCGGGGTCGAGCCAAGGTTGTGGCCATTGTCGCCGTGTCGATGTGGCAGTCGCCCTACCCTGCGTCTCACCTACCGTGAAACCGTGCCGCCGCCCGCCGTGTCTGGGTCAACCGACCCTAGTCACAGGGTGACGGCGACGCCTCTCTGCTCGTCCTGCCTCACTTGCCCCCGCTAGCCGACGCCGGTGCGGCCTGCTCGGGTCCGGCCGCTCCAATTCAAGCGTGTCGCGCCAAGCCCTCCCCGGTCTCGTCACCTGTGCGCATGTGGTCTTACTACAGCTATCGGTCGAAGCCGCCATCTTAATCCACTCGAGCTCACTCATGTGCCTCTCCATGACATGACCACAGTGGGAGCACCACGCGCTCTGCCTCTCAATTCATTTAGCTTAGAGCGTCGCAGTTCAATTCCTTGCACCAGCAAGTGGCCTATGGAGTCGACTAGCTAGGCGACCCCTATCGAGGCTTTGCCGCGCCTCGGCGTGGACGAATTTAGTGTTTTCGTGGCCGCTGATCATCATGTCTCCGAACAGAGCATGACTTAGGGGTAAGGCCCTACCCCTCAGTAGGGGTTCAACCACTTGTTCCTATGAGCTCACCTTGTTCCCCTCGTGCTGTTGCTCATCTTCGTTTGACCAGGAACGATGCTGAGTGAGAACCTGACGGGTCGGTGTCAACCTTGGAACGCCGCCGATATCATTGCGCGCACGTGGCTAGGCCACCTCGGCACTCCTTCGCCTTAACCGCCACTGCATCGCGAATCCTGATGAGCTACTGGTGCTTATCCGCTATCTCTACCACCCCGATAGAATCTTAGGCCGCTGGAACAATCGCACCGCCGCCGCGGATAGCCGCTCGCGCGCTGTAGCCTACGACTGTGCGCCTCCGAGTCCCCAATCGCTACCCATCCATGCGCGTTTAGCTGTAGATGGTGGTTGGCCCCTTAATTCCGTCGTAGCGATCCTAGTTTGCCTGGCGTAACCGCCTTATGCCGTCGGTCGGCGCGCGCGGGGATTCCAGGGACCTCTCCGTGGTAAAGGTGAAAATATTCGAGGGCTCGGTTGCAAGATTGCTGACGGTAGGAATAGTGCGTATAGTAGTCGTATTAATCTCTGAAAGCTTAGGGGCTTTCCTGCAAAATAGCCAATGTGTGCGGGTGCCCCTGGCCTCTGGCCGTACTGGGCCGCCGTGACGCGCGCACATCCGCGCCGCGCAGGGCTGCTGGGCCTGAAAGGGTCGCTGCCGGCCCTTTCCTTTTTCTAATGTATTTTCTAATTTAGTTTCTAAGGTAAACTTGTAAATTTAATATAAAATTTTGTAGTTAACCGAAAATTCTAAAACCAATTTTGTTAGGTTTCTAAAATCATGATCTATCTGCTAGTGTATTTTTTTCACATAATTTTATAATATTTTCATAAGTGATCTAATTAATTTGAGATGCTTAATATTGTTAAGATATAAACTTAAAGGAATTTTTATGATAAATTGGTGATAGTGTTGGCTCTGAATTTTTCACACTAAATTCCTAACATTATTAGGGGCTCACTGTAATTTTGTAGCTCCATATTAATTAGTTTGCTAAGGTGGCTAAATGAGTCCTAGTTCGACAATATATGTTTAATCAATAAACTGTCGAAACATCTTGGGATTTTAGAACTAAAATATTTTTCTGGAGGCAAAGCCTTACTTGACGACGTGGATACATAGACTAGTACGTTAGTCATTAAAATACTTTAGAGTTGCAGTTGCCGTTGATTATTTACGTCTCTGTGTTGTATCCATGCATATCATAATAGGAACAACGATCGATTGAATTAGCGAAAAAGATGGTGCCTTGGTGATCGTGTCACCACGATGGAATGGTAGCTTTTAGTTATATCTTACACAAGCAAGTCCTGGTGCATAATCCCTATCATTCTACACATTATTTTATGCTTGTGCATTATATATATGAGTCCTAATAGTATGTCAGGATCGTATAGATTACTATGCTATAGGATCCGGTAGAAGTCGAGTGATTACCTATCACTCGCGAGAGATAGGAAAGATATTATTGTTGTTATTATACTACAGTCACATGGAACATATATGAATGATAATTGGAGACCGGACGGAATGGTACTTTGGATCTGGACTTGTTTAGGCATTCGAGCGAGGCTCGGATTGCACTTGTTTCGCCTGTGTCGATTGAGGACCGTCTGTTGCTGTGGATGGTAGTCAGGTCATAGACTTATTATCCTGAGCACATACTTGCTTATGGGAGCGGGAAGGCTCGTTACGCTCTTATCACGGGTTCTGGCTCTTTTCGGACTGATTGATTGGAGGCGGGGGAAAGGTGGATGTCTAAGCACCATACTGAGACCGAGTCTCAAGTGTGGGGGCTTAGAGTCCAAGTTTGGATGGGGACGTGGACCCCGTGATAGGAGTGGAATGGGTTGGTCTTGTTTGTGCATAGGGTACAAGCGAGGCATGTGTTTCGGGGTACCCAGCTGGGATACATTGATTTGCAAATCGCCATTTCTGTGAGACGGTATTGACTTGGCTACAGTCTAGCACCGTAGTAAGAACTGGAATATGAAAGATGGTAAAATGGTTCTAATTGCTCATCACCTGCTTGAAAGTAGCATAGGTGCTTACATAGAATGGTTAGTTAATGAACTAATGATGACTGCTAATAAAATTGACTATAAGGACGCACGTTTAGTAATGCTTCCGCAGATGCAATAACCCATAAGCTAAATAAGGTTTACATATCCTTAGAGTCTTTTGTTTTTCTCCTATCAGGTAAGTCTTGCTGAGTACAATCGAGTACTCAGGGTTTTATTTCCCCTGTTGCAGGTAACTGGAGGATATGTAGAGCTGACTCTTGTGTGTGGAAACCTCCTGGTGGGCTCAGAAAGGGTTCCCACTACGACCGTAGTGTTTATTTATAACCCTCACTAAAAGTTTTTTATAAGAAAAGATGTAAAATCTGCTAGCATCTCTTGTATAAAAATATCCACTATGTTAATGCTCCACCATGTCATTAAATTAATCTTGCTTCCTCTGTAACTCTGAAAACATTGTTATATTCCGCTGTTATAATCAATTGAGGTAATGTTCTACTATTGTAATAAAGTGATGTAAGAAATGGTTAAGAATGTTGTAAGCTTTATTCTCTCGTTTATGATCCTGATGGAAAGATGTGGATTTTCGAGTTCTCTCTTGGGGTGTGCTCGACGGAACTGTCCGATATAGCTCCTTTTCGAGGTGCTTAGTGTCTTGTGGAAGACGATCGCCTCTGAAAGCGTGTTATTTCGGGTGGTTCTGCAAGATTTGCTCCCTCACGCGCCCCCGATCGGTTAGCCGCTCCTCGATCCGGCCGCGCCCTTGCTCCCCCAGGTGCGCTCCCCCGATCGGATAGCCATCGGGCTGACCGCATTGGTCGCACGTGCTACGGCTGGGCGCCAGCCCGGTCGTGCCTCGCCACGCCTAGGCTAACATGGATGGCCACCGCTACCGCCTCCTCCACCGGCCACCGGGACCCGCTCAGTCGGATCCCGTTGTGCGGTGCTCCGTCTGCCCACCCGCTTATCAGGGTTTGCTGAAAGCGCATGTTGCAGGCGTCTGTTTTATGTGTTTCAGATGTTTAAGAGGTATGATGTAAGTGTTTCATATAAATGTTGCAAAAGTAGATTGAGATGTTGCATTGGTTGTACATGTATGTTGCATGTGTCTGTTCCCAATGTTTCATCTGCTTTTTAGACTTATGTTGCAAGTGTTGTTTATTTGGATGTTGCATATGTTTTCACACATATGTTGCAATTGTTTTATCTAGATGTTGCACTTGTTTGCAATAGTTTTTAAGTGTTTTTGCAAGTATTTCAGACGCATGTTTGAAGTGTTTCACCTGTCTTCAGATGTATGTTGCAAGTGTTGCATCTGAATGTTTCAAAAGTAGATCGGGTGTTGCACATATTGCAATGGCGCCGGTTGCTGACAGACAGGGGCCTGCCGCTAGGCTTCGACAACCTCCTCGCGGCGCGCCTCGCCCTCCCCTCTCCTCTCCCTCCTCTCCCTTTCTTTCTCTTCCCTCCATCTCAACGCGACAGTTCGAGCTCGGTGCCTGCGATGACGCGGATGCCCGATGAGCGTGATGCCCGCAGAGGTGGTGGCCTAGGTGGGCCGATGGTGGCGCGATGCCCGCGTGGTGGCCTTGCAGCAAGCTGAGGTCCGCGGCGTCCGCTCGCTACGCGGGAAACATAGTAGCCGTGAGCGTCTGTTCGGACGTTCAGACACTAGTCCAGTCGTTTTTTATATATCTTGTGCATACTCTATAAAACCATCCTCACTTTTCATCTTTAGCTAGCGAGAAATCCAAAATAAGAGATGTCTATATTTGAAAATACAATTAAGGAAACTATTGGAGGATTTTTTTTCACTAGAATCTCTATTATTCTTATGAATTATGAAGGATATAAATATTAAATAATCTCTTGTAACTGGGACCGGAATAGCCACAGAAGGAAAAAAAACAGGACAGGTGGAACATGAAAACTAACTAATACATACCGAAACCGACTCCAATCCAGAGTCTGCCTCCGCCTTTTCCCTACTCCTACTCCGTTTTGGAGACGCCCGTCCGCCAGGCCACGCCTTCTTATATACAGGAGGAGCTGACGTTCACGTTCAACTATCCATCGTAAACAATAAGCGGTGCTGCAATAAACCACCAAGGAAGTCCAACTCATCAGCCAAGCTAGTTGCACCGTACCTCGTTGGATTTAACCACCACCAACACCATGAAGAATAAGAAGGGTAGTCGCCGCAACAGCAATGTAAGCCACTTGCCTTTTCTTCATTTTGGCCTGGCGAATTCTTTTCCCCATCATTTTGTGTCTCTCTATTTACTTCTTGTATTCGTATGCCAGACACTGCCACATGCATTGCACTGTTTAATTTTGTTTCGCAATTATATTGATGCAGAAATCAGCAGCTCACAATAACCACTTACTAGCAGTGGATAGGTTTACCAAGCTTCCTGATGATCTCCTGCTCAACATCCTCAACCGCCTCAACACGCCCCACGCCGTCAGAACCTGCCTCCTTTCTAAGAGGACGCTCCACCTCCGACATTTGCTCTCAAACTTGCACGTTTGGGTCACTTCCTTTGTGCCTGATTGTGGTTATGTCACTTTCAAGGATTTAATTCGGATGAACGCTGCGGTAGCCGATGCAACAGACAACGTTCTCACTTTCAGAAGCCAAGAGATTCCCCTTCGCCAACTCAGCATAGGCTTCTTCTTGAAATACTACGACTGTCTCACCCTTGGTAAAGCTGTTGCCCGAGCCATGGCCACCCACAACCTCCACAACGCTGAATTCATTATTGTACCAGAGAAGATGCTACAATATTGCACTATTGATGATCACCGCCGCAATGGGAAGCATCTCATGACATTTTTTGATGCATGTACTGATGCATTTGCCGGCCTTACACGTCTCTATCTACGCAACTTAAAGCTTGCTGAAAATGACATTCCGAACATCATCGCCACATGCAAACGACTAGAGTATCTCCGTTTGTCCATGTGTCAAACAGAAGATAGTGTGTTGCACCTGCAGGTGGAACACCCACGGCTTGTTGAGCTTGATATCTCCAGTGCAGGCTTAGAACTAGTTGAGCTCAACTCCCTACCGAACCTCAAACGGCTGGTTTTTAGTTTGTGGCTCTGTCCCCAAGAACCCTTGTCTTTTGGCAACATCCCATTGCTTTCAAGCCTAAGCCTCACTAATGTAAGCATGAGATGACAGAAGGTTATCAGATTAAGTCAGTTCCTTCCTAGTGTCCCCTCCATAAGAGACCTACACCTCAGCTTCCTAAGTGAAAAGGTAATTACTTTAAAGCAAGCACTATCTGCAGCTTATTTGTTCCTCATTCTCAACTTAATCTGCATCCTTCCATTATTACTTGTATTGTATTGCAGGTTTGGGTTCAGCCAGGGTGCCCGAAACTTTTGTCGCCGGTTCTCCAGAATCTGCAATTTTTGAATCTGGAAAAACTCCCTGAAGGATGTGATATAGCTTGGACAAGATTCTTCCTCGAGGCTGCACCTAACCTAAAGGAGGTATGCATCACAGTTTGGGACCATTGGTGTGATATGGAGATAGACAAGGTGGAACGGGAAGAACAGGGTTACTGTGACAAAACAAACGTGGAGTGGGAGTCATCTGCACCTGATGGTTTCAGGCATCACAACCTGACTAAGCTCACCATTTATGGTTTCCAACCAAATGAGAACTTCATGGGATACATGAGGCACGTCATGGAAGCCGCAGTTAACCTAGAGGAGATATCCTTATACGACAGGAAGGTCCTCGAGTGCTGTGAAGACTTGGATCCAAAGATCGAGGTTGCTCCATCAAGATATCCCCAGGTCATCGAGGAACAGGAGTTGCTGAGGGAGCAAATTACAGAGGGATTGGTGATGGCGTCACCTCATATAATTCACTTCCGGTCTTAATTCCTCAGCGCAAAGATGTGAATTGTTGAGTAGCAATAATATATTCTGACTGTTCTGAATTTTTTTTGGCAATGAAATACTCTAGTTTCAAACGTTTTAATGCAGGCATTAATTTCCTCTTGTTTCCTGCAACTTGGTTTCAGGCCATATGTAAGCATGCTATACAATAGTAATATAGTATTTGAATGTTCTGAATATTCTGGTTTCCTTTGTTTTTTGTTGCAATGAAATATTTTCCCTTATCCTTTGCCCTACAACTACAAGTGAGCTTGCCATCCAGCTCAGAGCTGAGGCAACTGTTTTGTTGAAGTACCATAAAGGAATTGTCGTTCAATCTCTTAATGGTTAACTAGATTCAAGGTAGATAAGAGAAGTTTGGACTTTGGTCCAAGCCCTGGTGGTGGCAATAAAGTTTGGTCCAAGCCCTGGTGCGAACAAAGGATGCTCTTTCTGTTTCTTCTGTCCCAAGAGATGCTCTCATTGATGCCTCCATTCCATTTCCAGGCACATCAGGTGTCCAGCGTTGCATCGATGGTTCTGCTCACCGGTAGAGAAACGGACTGTACTTTCGGTTCTCAACCCCCTTCAGTTCCGGTTTTAAAACCGGAAGCACAAATCCAGAACTAAAGGGCCCCTCCTTTAGTCCCGGTTTCGTGCCCGGGACTAAAGGTCGGTTGGTAATACCAACCGGGGCTAAAGAGGTCTCCCGGCCTGGCCACGTGGGCCAGCCCTTTAGTCCCGGTTGGTATTACCAACCGGGACTAAATGTTTTTTTTTGTTTCTATTTTAAATTGATGATTCGTTTTGGTTTTTGAATAGGTTTTTGAATACGCATTCTACGCTGCTAATAATATACGTATTCTATACGTTTATAATGTTCGAACATTTTGTACAAACTAAAATATAAAACTAACATATATATTACATGCATATACATATATTATACGCTATTTTATGTACATATAATATGTATATGTATATATATATATATATTACAAATAAAGCTTGCATTATATATTCTATCATATCCTTGGGATAACAAATTCACTACATCTGGTTTGGCTTACATGTTTCGTTCACGTCATTGTAGAACACGGCGGCGGGGTTTAGGACCTGGTCATTAAGAAATCCTGCTATGGTCTCTTCTTGAATTGCTTTCAGTTGGTCACGTCGTATGACTTTTTCCTTCAACCATAGAGTCTTCAATAAAAATTAAAGAAAAAGTATTAATATATATATATATATATATGTTGGTCACGTGATTACTCATATATACGAGCAATAAAAGAAATTATAAATATATGAATACATTTATATAACGTACTTTGAAGTTCTCTTCAGGAGTTCTTTTTGAGTACGCCATGATGAACTCGCAAACATAGTATCCGCAATAGTTGTTTTCTGTTCTCGCCTCAGAACCCACTTTTACGAGAAAAAAGATCCGGTGAATTGAAAGCATGCATGGTGTTAATTGAATTATATATATATATATATAAATGTAGCTAGTACTTACTTTGTGTGCGATTACATCCAGTGACGCTTTGCAATGTTTCATGTGGTGTTCATCAATGAAACTTTTCCAAACACTGCGTCCAATAAAATAAAAAATTAATTTGGCCTTTAATAATTGTAGCAGTTAAGAGATCGGGATATATATAGTTGCTAGAGAGACCAAATTACCTTTGGATAATATCTATCATGTCTTGGTACTCTATTTGCTCTTTTCTTAACGAGTCTAATATGCTCAACCGACTATTGACCATATCGATGACCATTAATATCCAGTGATTGCTGTATATGTTTTTATACACAAATATGATCGACATTAACTAGAGTCAACATATGTATATATGGGAGATAGCTTAGCTAGTAAGCAAATAATTGAACAAATGTCCATATGATCGACATTAATTATTTAACACTCACTTGAAGTTGTAGGGGAAGAGTATGTCCTTGTTTTGTTGGTTCACTAAGAACCTCATGAGATTTTTCTCGAGTTCAGCTTTCCATCCAGAGGGGATCAGAGTGTTTGAATACGACATTTGGATCAACGAAACCAACATCATTATCCTGTCTCTTTCTGAGTTCTGTCATCTCATATCTGCATATATAAAAATGTAGTGTGAGGATATATAATTTATATATATACATGTAGCTTTATATATATACATTTTAATAGTAGAAAATAATCACACTTACAGACAATAGCAGCTAATGAGACTTTTGTCGAGAGAGTCCAGGTGGCATAGTTGGTGTAATTCTCCAAACTCGACATATATAACGTCATCGCCACGGAAGTAATGTTGGTTTCTAACTCTGACAGAAACAAAGTTCTCTCCCCGTTTACACGTCGCCATGTATCACTTGTTTAGCAGGTACATTTGCGTACCCAGTTCACCTAAGGCCTCAGGGTTGTATAGACTATTTCCATGTTCAAATTTCTTCCAAGGATCCACTTTTGGAGCAGATGGTCCTTCAGCGAGCACTTGGGCAAGGTCCAAACCAGTATCCTCGTAAAACCGAACCAGGTCCTCAAAATCGATGTTCGGTAAGTCTAAGTTTGAACCATATTCGTTATGAATGACAAGAGGGGGGACTGATTGTTGCGATTGTTGTCCGAGTTGTGCGACACCTTTTCCTGCTCTAGTCTTTTTCTGCGCCGCCTCAAATGACTTGGTGAGAGAGTGGTCGTAGTTCGATTTTGGCAGGGTCTTTTGAGATTCCCGCTTTTTCTGGTCCACCTTCTTTCTTAGAAGATCTGGAGGTAGGTAGAAGTATGGTTTCTTCGGGTTCTCCCTCACTTCTCGTTGCTTTCTTACTTTTTCGAAGAAACTTTTCACATCTTTTTGTACTGCATCCTTTAATTCCTTTTCACTTTTCTCGTAAGACAGTTTTTGGAGAATAACTGGATTAGAGGACGCTTTCTTCTTTGCTGGTTGGTGGGTCAACGGCTTCGTTTGCGGGGCGGACCTCTTAGGAGCTGGCTGCTTCTTGATCATCAAGGGAGGCGAGGCAGCCGTTGGAGACCTCATTGGAGGCGTTGGAGACCTCCTTGGAGGTGGTGGCTGTGGAGACCTCCTTGGAGGTGGCGGCGGTGGTGGCGTTGCATAATCATTGCCCGGAGCACTATGATGATCTAAAGATTGAATAATTGGACTTAGGTTGGCGGAGGTCTTGCTGTGTGATTACAAAAAAGAATAAGTAGGTATAAGAAATTGTTATTATTAATCATGCATGTTAATAGAAAATTTGTGAAAAAAATGTGTCGTTAACTTTTGTCCGCACCTATTGTCTGGCAGTTGAGGAAGCGGCGGTGGACTAGAGACCCCGGGAATAATGATGTAGCGCTTGCGCCATAGTATGAATGTCTTCTCTGCTTCTCCTAGAGTCTTCTCCCCATCACCTCCTGGAATGTTAAGAGCCAGATCACTAAAACCTTTGTTAACTCTATCTACTGAGACGCTAACATATCCAGGTGGTATTATTGCCCCATGGATTCTTGGTGTCTTGGTAGGATCTGGAGGAGAAAAAACACCGAGAGCCACCATGATTGTGGCATTCTCTTTTGGAATATGTAGCTCACATTATGTAAACGGTGCAGTGATGTCATCCACGAGGAAACGTAGCATTGCGTCATCTTGATTTGGCAACTCCGTGGAAGCGCAGCTGCTTTTCAACTGATCAGGGGGCTAATATTAATGTTGTTTCCTGGATCTGATGCCTGCCTTTGGGCACTCATTGCTATTTGCACTTGCTTTATAATTTTGTCCTGCATTCTAGCTTGCATGTCTTTTTCGTGCTCCTGTGCTTGAAGCAACGCCTCCCGTGACTCACGAACCAATTTCTCCAACCTGATGATCCACGCTGCATCCTCATCCTTCCTTCTCTGCTGGCTTCTGTAGGTATCTCTATCATCAGGGAAACCATGCTCCCAAGAAATGTTCCGTCCTAAACCTCTTGTTCGGCCACTGTGTTCAGCGGTCCTGAGGGCATACGTCAGTTCATCCTTCTCTCTATTGGGCCTGAACGCACCAATAGCTTTAGCTTGTAGAGCATAAGAAAATCTTTGTGTTGCTCTTTCGAGTTTTAGGCCATAAACCAGCTTTCCGGTCTCTAGGTCCAGTCTTACCCCATGAGCGAAAAACCAATTCTTCGCGCGTTTGGGCCAATTGAGTGATTCTGGTGTGATACCCTTGGCAAGAATGTCCGCTTCCATTTTTTCCCACTTGGGAATGGCAGTCGCGTAGCCACCTGATCCCATAACATGGTGGTATACCTTCTGTCGGGCATTAGCTTGGTTCATTCTCACCCGTTCCTCACCCTCTTCCGATGTCTTGTACTGTACAAAATCATTCCAGTAGGGCCTCAACTTCGTGAGCGGGCCACTAGTATTGAAATTAGGCGTTAGGTTCTTCTTGACGTATTTCGTGTATAGGGATTTCTTCCAAGTCTGAAATTGTGTGACCATCTTCTTCATAGCCCACTTTTGAACTAGTTCCTTCAATTCATCATCGTTGATAGCATCATAATCATCTGCTTGCAATGTGAAATGTTGAAGGGTATCATCCCAAATTAAATTCTTATCAAGATCAGAGATAAAACTAACATGAGGCTCGTTGATCTTTTGCTTCCATTCACGGGCACTGATCGGAAGTTTGTCCCTTACAAGGCACCCACAGTTTTGCATGATTTTCCTTGCATGTGGACCAAGTGGTTCGCCTGTCTCGATATTGAATTCCGATATTATGTAGTGCTCCTCCAATGGCTTTTTTGGGCCTTGAATATTTTTGCTTTTCGCCGTTGTGGTCGTCGATCTAGAGGGCTACGTATAAAAAAGAATAAATAAATATCATGTGTACACATAATAGATGATATATATTCAAATATATATATATATAATATTCAAATATATATATATAAATATATATACCTCGCAAGTATTTTCTTGCACAATATTTTTTTGGTTATCTTCAAGAGCCAGGTATTGACTTCCGTCATCT